GGGGGTGGTGGGGGTGTGGGGGTTGTCGATTTGGCTCGATTTTCATCAAGCCGGCGTGATTGTTTTTCATGTATTTGGACATTTTTATTTTTTTCTCGGCTAATTCTAGCCCTCGCCTTATTCACCACTCACGCCGTGTTTTCCGCTATTTAAGCGATGCTTCAACCGGTTCTACAGAAGGCGTCTGCGGTGGTCCACCTCCTGATGTTTCTTTGCAAGGGTCATCACCGCAAAGCGGCCATTCCGAGCAGGACGTAGGCGGGGGCCTGATGGTGTTTGAGGAAGGGGAACAGACGGTCGGTTGGCGGTGTGTGTTGAAGCGGGAGCGGGTGGGTGAGATTTTCATAGTACGTGTTCGCCCCAGGGTAGGTCGATTGTCAATTTGTTGTTGTTTGCGCGACATGAAGATCATCATAGCTTGTAGGGGCCCGGTGTTGGGCAGGACAGTCATGTTCTACGAGTTCAAGCAGAGGAGGGGGGAAGGAGATGGTCGCCACGTGGAAGTTGGCGATGTCGTAACTCGTGAGGATTGGCCGCATTATGAAGTGGATGTCGACGGACGGACTTGTCTGATGTTGGCTGTCCATCTAGGGTTTGCACGTCGTTTGCTGCGCAATGTCGTGATCTTCGTGACGAAGATCAGTTCCGCAGTGCCCAACCGCTGGACAAGGGGTGTCGATGTCACAGGGGACATGGTGCGAATGCTCGTCTCCGTGCTGGCGAAGGAGTTTGAGGAGCGCCTTCACCACCCGTCCACGTTTCAAGTTGTGGTCGATGCGCCGCTAGAGCCCAAAGACGATCTGCACGGGGATGTTCACATCCTGCGAGACGATATCTTCTGAGCTTTCCTTTGCAGAACGCCTTTTCCGACTTCGTTGTTTCCATGACTGGATAGCGGTTCTTTCATTTTTGCGAAGTATTCGAATGCGCGCGCGCGCGCGCGCGCGTGCGAGAGAGAGAGAGAGAGAGAGAGAGAGAGAGAGAGAGAGAGAGAGAGAGAGAGAGAGAGAGAGAACCCGTTGTGGTTTACAGAAAGACCAGCCGACAGCCGAGACGTAGTGAAATGGAGTTTGAGATTTGCGATGTCCAAAGATGGTTTCCAATTTTCGAAAGTGTGCTATGAACAATCATATTCTCTCGTGCTCGCCATGTTTTGTTACGCTACGTACAACGTACGTCAATGGCGTGTATGCTCTTCGTGTTTGCTGCATTTTTGTTTATTTTGAAAGTGCTATTCGCCATATAATTTTATGTTTTTTTTTTTTTTTTTTTTTTTTCGTGACGTGGATGTGAATGACCACATTGTCAAACGAAATTGAACACAGAATGAATCACACAAAGAAAGACAGAACTCGGCAAAGAGTGAGCGACGCAAACACAAAATCGAAAGTCCGATTGTCAACCACTGTACAAGGATGGAAATCATAAATATTGAAAGCCACAAGATTCAAATCAAGGACGACTCGCACCCCCCGATTCGCATTCACATCGCAACGGGGTTAAGTCACTGTAATCTTAAAAGCAACCTCATCAGACTTCATGTGCAAGCATTGATTGCCTTCGCCGATAGACGAAAGGATTGACTTGCACCTCCTACATAACATGTAAACGAACAACCAAATCCACCCGCACTAACGGACCCCGTTCAACTCCCTGTCATGTGCCGAGCGCTACGCTGAAATGACCAACCCTACCGATTACGCCGTCGACAATGATCCTATAACCCTAAACGCGGTGACACGTGTCCGCACCCGCGAGACGACGCCAGATAAGCGATTGCCATATGAACTATCGTAAGAGCTGCATGCGGCGAGTTAGTGTCGCATGCAAGTCCAGCGCCGCTTCGCTCGCGTCCGCTTGCGACACCGGGGCCGGCGGTTCATGCATGCCCAGATCGATCGGCCGGTCGTTCCCGTTCGCGTCTCTCTCCATGAGCAACCGCTGGTCGAAGTCGATAACTGCCGCAATGAGCAGGTTGTGGATGATGCAAACTGTGGTGAACTGCTGGGGCATGTTGTCCATGTTTGTTTTGTGGCGCCTGAGGAACAAATGCCACATGCCCTTCGACCGCCCAAACGCTCTCTGGACGACGTTCCTTGCGGTCTTGTGGCACGTGTCGAAATACGCCTCGTCATCAGGCTGCACCACTCTGCCGTAAGGCACCACCAGCCATGGCAAGGGGCCATACCCATTGTCCCCAAGCACGTGGCCCGTCGTCCGCACCCCGCCAGGCAGGGTCACAGTCTCCGCTGTGAACAACGTGCGTGCCTCCGCACGCCTGCAGATCGATGAGTTCCACAACACCCTCGCGTCATGGACACTGCCGGGACGAACACATTGATGACGCGCATGTCCAAATCAACCACCACTTGAGCCACGGCCGAATATTGTTGTTTTCGGTTATAATAATTCTCCGACGGCGCATTGGCAGGTTTATCGACGTACGCGTGGGTGCAGTCCATGCAGCTGTAGCAGTTGGGGAAGCCTTTCGCTGTGAACG